ACATTCTTAAAAATTCTGAGGGATCTCAAAGAGCTTTTATTTATGTGAGTTTTATCTTGTGTTTATGTGGGTTTTATCTTTATGTTAAAAATTAAGACTGAGACAACTTTAAAATATGCATTAATTCATTTACAAATAACAAAAATAAACCCATATGTATTAACTAAAGTAACATATTTTTATGAGAAATAACTATGTTTTCAAAAGAAATTTACTGAGAAGGACAGTGTTTTACGTGTTTGCAAAAGTCTTTAAAATCTGCCTTAATAGAAGACAGTTGGTTTCTCATATCTGTTTCTGCCTTCAATATGTTGTGGCACTGCTTTGGTTGAGTATGCCAAAAAATACCTGGTCTCACACAGATATGTAGTTGGAAAGAGAGGGATATTTGAATAGTTTTTTCAAATAGTAGGATATTCTTCTTTGAAACTCCAGAGGTGGTAGTTTTCTTAAAGGTTACTTGCAATGTAGAATCTGAAACCATATCTTTTTATACTCTGTTACATTAAAATCCATCGACCTATTCTTTACTTTGAATGGATCATTCACTTATGCATGATTTTGTAACATCACCATTGGTCAATCAGAAAACTTTGGTTCACTGAGTTATGCAGATCTTCCAAATGTTGACACATGTCATTATACTGTATCAAAATAAAAAATAAATAAATCACATTCATTAATATCACTACCTACCTCAACTGAAAAATCTTTAAGTATTGGAAATCCATCAATTTTAGTGGTAGAAGTTTTCTAAAATTCTAACTTTCACTTGAGAGCTCTAATTTTATCATTAGCAACAAATACTGTCAGGTACCAGCTAACTTCTTTTAGTTTTCAGAAAATGTCTACCAAATAATCAAGTCAGAATAACCATATTTTCTCAGTCACTGTTTCAAGTAAAACAACTTAAACAACCGAAGAAGTATTTTTTCTTGAGATAACCATCATACTCCGGTATGCAGTAAAAGCACTTTATGCATACTCCCCACTTTATCACATAGAATATTTAAAAGTACAAGAATACTTCAAAAAGTTTGTAGAAAAATACAATTAAAAGATAATATGAATCTTTCCATGAAATTTTTGAAGTACTCTCACATACTCAAGTGTCAAGATATAATAAAATTAATAATTTTTACTGCTTCATCAATGACTTACTTAAGTAAACTGGCTTTTTAAAAAATTGTGTGACCGTGAAGAATATACCATTAGTATGATTTGGTGCCACTGCACCAGAAGTTTTACTTTCCATTACTTTTACACCATCAGTGCAAATATCAACATGGTGAAAAAAGCCAAAAGCATCTTACTATTAAGGAAAACAGTTTTAATCTGTAGACCTCTTGAAAAAGTAGTGGGGACTCCTAAAAAAAAAAAA